TAGTAGAAGCATGGAAGGCCAACAAGCTGGCCGCTGAGGTAGCAGACAAGTGGCGACCCATCATCGTGTTATCGTGCTACAGTCGCGGTTCGGGTCGGAATCACGGACGAAGGATGCCAGTGTTGACGGACCACCAAAGTTCGTGTCATTCGCGGATCGCAATAAAATGTATAAAAGACACAACCAGAAGGCCCCAGAAGTAGTCATGAACAGTAGGTCGTCCTAGGGGAGAAGGAAAGCGACTCCACGCTGCTATTACGTTAGAGGATCTCGCGCCTTCCGAGGGCCCTGCGCCACCTTCCGACGATCAGCCAAGCTCGTCACGGTTCAACAGAGGCGAGGTGGGCGAGGCTGCTGCCGTGGTTGATATGGTAAGACCGTGAACATCTGATAGAACACTGTAAGTGCGTGTGCTAGGCTAAGGTCTCCAAGGATGCATTCAAGAGCAAATTCGATAGAGGTGAATTCCCCATCTGTTCTGAGCCTTCGACGTGATTGCTTCGTTATAACAGCACCAACAGCAGCAAGGAAGCCTCACATGAAAAAGCATACGAGGAGGAATGAGGCGCGTGCATTGGAAGCGGAGTATAGCCGCCCGTCTACAGGAGGTAACGGCGATGTGATGATATTCTAGATATTACTATAGTGAGGAGACTGGCAATTAGATTACGGGGAAAGCAGTGGTATAATCTAACTGGATAAGTGGCATCGGCTGTTACTCAGGTGCATCGTTGGGAGCGTTTCTGAACTTAGGCAAATCAGATGAATTGGCAGCGGCAATGGTGATAGGATAGAACCCAAGACTGAGGACTTCTCGAAAAATATCTTCTACTAGTTACTCTCTGAAGCGGCTGCTATGGAGCCTCCGAAGGTTACTCGTGAGAGCGGTAAGGGAAAAGGAAAGGGAATGGGTCGTCATGATGGTAAGCTTGGAGTCTGGCAGGTGTAGCTTGAGTCCTTTATGGTATCAGATGATCATAATCACGGGAAGGGCAAGGGGAAGGGTAAGGGTAAGGGCGGTAAGGGTGGGCATCGGAAAGGAGGAGGAGGAGGGCATAAGGGAGGCAAAGGGAAAGAACGATGGTGAAACTGTGAATGTATCGACTTACTA